GACAAGAGAGAGAGGAAGAGAGAATGGGAAGTATCTAAATATAGCGAAAAATATATAGCAAAATGGAATAGATGGCAAAGGAATGGAATGAATAGAAAATAGAGAATAGAAGAGAGAGGAACAAAATTTAATGGATAGCAATAAAAATGTTATCGCAATGATCTTGTTCCTATGAAAGAAAATATTGGATAGCAGAATGGTATAGATAGAATGGATTGGATAGTAAAATTGAATATATGGTATAAGAATGAAAAGTACAGTAAAAAGAACGCTAGCCAAATAATTCTATCCCCTAAGAAAGAATTGAAAGGAAAGTTCAATGCAATAGGTAGCAAGAGGATGGAATGAATAGCAAAAAGAATATTAGCTGAATAGTCCTGGATAGCAGAATGAAATAGATAGAGTAGAATGCATGGTAAAATAATGAAAAGGATAGCTAAAAGGATATCCCAAGGAAAAAATTGAATGGATAGCAGATTGATAGACAATCATGAAATTAAAAGGATACTCAAATGGAATAGTTAGCAACAGGGTGGAATGGATAGCAAAAAGTATGTAATAATCCTGTCCCTACAAAATACTTTATCTTGCTTAAGTCTTTAATTCTTTTTGAGTTATGCTAAATAAGAAATATAATATATAATTAATGAAAAAATAGCTGAAGCCAATTGAAAGCAAAGCAAAAATTTATTAATAATTTAATTTTTTAATAATTGATTTCTGTGCTATTAACAAGAACTTTGAGTGGAAGCCAAATGAAATTGCTTTGCAGTCTCAGTCTTTATTTACGCTGCAAATCTTTTAATTATTGCCATGCGCCACACATACATTTAAGTATAAGGCTGAAGTAGAGCGCTTTTCCCTCTCTGCACACGCACTTTTCAATTATGTGAAATTTAATCAACATTTTGTGCGCACAGCTAAAGTTTAGAGCATAAATTGTGTGTGGCATAAAAATTAAAAAAAAAAAAAGAAAAAAAAGAAAGAGGGAAAAAAGTGTAAATAAATGAAACTTAATTTCAAAACTGACGTTGTCAGCTGCCCCTCGGCTCCCTCTGGCCCCTCGGCCCCCCACTGGACTGGGCTCGCATCAAAAATGCGCATTTTTTATATAAAAGTTTGTTTGTATAAGTGTGTGTGTGTGTATGTTTTTATTTTTTATTTTTATAGTGAAGCTGCCAAGTGGAAAAGCAAACGGCGCAGAAAAACTGCTGCAACCGCAAGAAATTAAGAAAATATTCACTTAGGCACTCGCCCGACGCCTTATCTGCAGGCCAACAGCCGCGACACCACGACCAACAGTCGACATCTTGCCTCTTGGCCTTGCTTGAAATCCGCAATAAACCAACAAGCAGGAAAGAGTGAGGGAAAGTGGGAGAAATCCTGCTGAAAGGACTTTGCCTGCCACTGAAGTTGGGCTGAGTGGAAGCGCTCTGGCATTAACTAACTGTCCAGCAACAAAGTTTCCCGGCTGCAGTGCAACAGTTTCGCGGAATAGAAAATTCTAGCGAAAGACCGGAATGTCCAGCAGAAGTACAAAGCTAGAAATGGGAAAACTATATTATTTATTATGATAGTGTGCATTGGGAACAGATGAGAGATTAGGAATTCCTTGAATTGAGAAATTACTTTTGATATGGTTAGCTTCTCGTGTCATCTGCTTGCTAATGAGTATGAATCTGATTTAAGATAAAGTGAATTGTCACGATATCTAAAATAACAATAGAAATGATATATGAAGTAATGGGGGGAGAGAGAGGGACAGACTGAAAGAGATAATGAAATCGTGTGAGGGTGGATGTAAATAGACTGATACTGATTTAGACAGGGAGAGAGAAAGAGAGATGCAGTGAGAGTGCGAGAAGATGAAAGTGATACATGAAGAAATAACAGGATAGAGTGGAAGAAAGATAGAGTGAAAGAGGTAATGAATATGAATATGAATATGAAAAGAGAGAGGAAAGCGAAGATAAATAGAAAGCGGTATAAGAAGTAATGGCGGTAGAGAGTGGGAAAAAGAGAGTGAGTGAAAGAGATAACGAAATAGTGTGAGGGAGAATATACAATAGCCAAAGACTGATTTAGAGTGAGAGAGAGAGAGAGAGAAGGAGAGGGAGAGTGAGGGTAAGTGAGAAAGAGATAGAATTAGCAACGCATATATTGAGAAACGAGTAAAAGAGAGTGAAAGGCAGTGATACTGAGATACAGAGAGAGAAAGAGGGAGAGAGAGAGAGAGGGATTAGTGCCACTAGATAAACGAAAAAAGAAAGAAAAGCTAGGGAGAAATCGAAAAAAGAACAAGCTGAACACAAGAAAACATAATAGATAAAAATATACCGTGTGTGTGTGTGCGTGTGAGAGAGAGAGCTTACATCTCTAACAACTTCTCTCCAAGCTGAGAATGGCAGCTGAGCACCACGACAGATGAGTACAGTAGTAGAGTCGAGCTATATCTCGATTTCTCAGTTACCTAAAAGCAAACACTTCGCTTGACTTTTCTTTATACCTCCAATATAGAATGAATATATAGAGCTATATTTCAACTCCTCAGTTACCTTTAAGTAAATAACTTTTAATCGTTTTAGTTTTCTTTATACCTCAATCGTGCTGGTCTGAAATCTGGCATCTGGAACTCGCTAACAGCTTGTGTTAGGCATTCCAATTGACTTAATTTAAGTGAAATGCGAATTGCGAAATGGGAGATGCAGTCCCGCTCTCTCGCCTAATCGCATTTTAATTGTGCTGCAAAATAATATTTAAATTAGTTCGACAGTAGACACTGGCAGCGGCGACCACCAAAGCGAGTGGAGGAGCTATTAAATATGCCTTTGTAGAGCTCGAGCTGCGACCTAATGGGCTGCCAGCATGCAACCCAGTCGGAGGCTCAAGGACAAGGCAGGGGCAGTCTACATCCTATGCATACATATATATAAATTACTATATATACGTGTGTGTGTGTGCATTTGACGAGTTGATGTAGCAACTGCTGCCAGCCACGGCAAATGGAAATAAAAAGCCAAAGCGCAAGCCAACTGCAGCTTCTGAGACAATTTAACGAGTCGTTGAGTCGTTGCTGTGCGGTGCAGCATTCGGGGATTACTCTTGAATGCTTCAATTCTGCTCGGGCAACGAGGCGAACAATAACCGAAAGGAATCCACAGTCCATGCCATTCCTTTGTTGAGCTTTATTGAATATCTTTGTCAAATATTGATTGGATTCTGGTTCGTTGATTGAAAACTGGCGACAAGTTAATAAAATCGATCGATAATTGAGAAGAGAGGTGGATCATAGGCTTGCGAAGCTGATTCATCCCGCTTCTGGCTAGAGATTAATTTTCGAAATATATTAAAGTACTAATCTTAAGATCTCTAGATATTTCACAAAATTTTATATTTTGGAGTGCATTTTAAAAAGATTTTATATAATAGTCTTGTAACACGCATGTAAGAGGCAGAAGGAGGCGATCCCATAATTGTCTGTTAATGCGTATAACTAAGCGATCTCGTAAGCTACAAAAGCTGGACGATTAATATTATTAATGTTTATTTCTTTATACTTAATCATTAATATGTTTTCGATAAGTGATTCCATTTCCTTCATAAATCGATAATAGTCTATCACATGATACCGAGAATTCGATATATCATTTTAAGACGTGATATATACAGATTTCGTTTAGTAAGGACTATGAATTCCATATGCTAATAGTATATATGATCGTATATGTGCTTGTGAGTTAATGTAGATATATTTGTAAAGGAATCAAATGGAATAACTGCAAGAACACCTATTCTTTTTAATGGGTTTAGTGTATAATCTAGTCTAGCAGCCCCAACTAGCGCTCTAGTCTTTGGAGAATTAATCGATTTTTATCTATGCTGATATAGCAGCAATTATTATGCATCATATAGCTATGCTCTTCCGCATATAGAGAAAGCAAGAAGATTTTCTGCTAATTCACAAGAAATACACAAATAAATTTCTCCAGTTCTTGTAGAGCTTTTCACTACTCAGCTAAAGGGTAAAGGAGCTCTGAGTCGACGCTGATTTTAATCATTTTATTAAAAGACTCTAATCAAAGAAGTCTCAGAGCTTAGAAAAATAGTAAAGTGAGCAGTAGTAGTCGAATATGAAATTATGATAGAGCTGGGGAGCTCTTGCTGTGTCAGCTCAATTTTCCGTTTTACCTTGTTGATTACTAAATTATGACTAATTAGTATATAGAGTGATATACATATACAGTTGCAGCTATACTATACATATTTATAAATCACTTTATAACTGTCTTAACTACTGATAATTCGAGTCATGCTCAAAGCAGCTGAAAATGTTTTTCTTTTCCCCTTGCTCCAAGTTTGCTTCAGCTGTGACTGTTGCGATATTCGCTCAAGCAGTTAAAACTGGTTTATGGGGCTTAAAAAGCTGTAATTGCCAAGACGAGTGACTTCACAGATGAATTATAAGATATATATAGAGACAAATTTATATATGTAGGAGTATATATGCAAAGGCAGAGGCTGGGCTGCCTTAGAAAACGATACGCCGCACTTGAGTGTGGCTGTGAGTGGCCCCGATATGAATATGTGTATATATGTATGTGTATATGTATGTCTAAATGTACATACATATATATATATGCTTGAGCGGGTTGCGGCACTCAAAACTTTTTGAATGCACGCCGAGAGGCGAGCGTGTGGCAGCCTCCAATTTTGCTTGGCTTCTGCTATTGCATCTTTGCTCGAGTGGTAAACATGCAACACTCACACAGACACACACAGGCACACAGAGGGAGAGCAAATACACCTAAATAACGTAGCATACAAATGGGGGCAAGCCAAGCCAAGTCAACATGCACTTGTGGCAACAGCAACCGTAGCAGCAGCCCTGAATTAAGCTTGGCAAGCCACCGCAGCAGCTGCTACTTCTACTGCTGCTGCTGCTGCTGCTATGCCAACTGGGAAAACTAAGACAAATAACTTAATGCCTTTTCTATTTGCAGTTCAAACAATAGAGACGCTGCCGCTCTGCCACCGGGAGGCGCAACAAAAGTGCAACAGCTGCACGGAAAAACAACTAAAAACTGCAACAAAAGCCCAAAAGTCAAAGTAAACCCAGACAGACGCAAAGAGTGCAAGATAGAGGAGAGAGAGAGAGAGATAGAGACAGTGTGGGTAGAATGTGTAGTGCAGAGTCCACAAGGCAGCTTAAAGTGGCAGCAGCAAACACAACCGGATAATAAGCATAAGAGCCAACAACAACAGCAATAACCATCACAACAACAACAACAATAGCAACAACAACAGCGGCAGCTGAAGGCGCTGGCGTAGCGCAGGCCGTGCCCAGCATTTAAATAAAACCAAGAAGAAGAAGAAGAAGAAAAACATAAACCCAAAGCCGAAACCAAAATCAAATCCAAATCGAAATTCAAACGGAAATAAGGCAGAGCGAGAGAGAGAGGGAGAGAGAGAGAGAGAGAGCGAGGACGAGTGAGGCAACGAGGTGACGTCACAGCGCCGCTAACTAGGACACTCGTGCCGCAAAACGCAAAATCTCGTTAGTCTGCACATCCCTTGCATCCTTAGCATCCGCTTGAATATTCACATCCGCGAAATGGTCTCTCGGCTGGGCCTGCACTCGCTGCTCGCCGCGCTGCTCGTGCTGGCGGCGCAGCTGTCCAGCGTGTGCGGCGTCATCGATCGCTTGGTGGTGCAGACCAGCTCCGGCCCGGTGCGCGGCCGTTCCGTAACGGTGCAGGGTCGCGAAGTGCACGTCTATACGGGCATACCCTATGCCAAGCCGCCTATCGATGATTTGCGCTTCCGCAAGCCGGTGCCGGCTGAGCCCTGGCACGGCGTACTCGATGCCACCCGCCTCTCGGCCACCTGCGTCCAGGAGCGGTAAGTAGCGACTGATGATGGCGGGCGTGGATGTAGGCGTGGCTGTGTGGGGGTTGGTCATAGTTAGTTAGCTTTTGACGGTCCGCAGTCTCTGCATCTCTGCAGTTGCAGTTGACCTACAATGCAATAGTCGCTGTTGACCTAACTGTTGCGAGTGACGTCATTGCGAAAACGAATGCCGGTCAAAATGTTAAGCAAATGTATGCACAGAGACATATATGCATGTATGCATGTCTCTATACACACACATTCATACTATATTCATTTAACATCGTGAATAGCAAAATGTCAACATTCCAACTGCAAATGGGATTGATGCATACGCAGCGTTGGGCACTCAAAGTGTAACCTATTCAAAATGTCCCAAATTTGGCTGGGAAAATAAATGTATTTCAAAGGAAAATAAGATATGTGAATGTGATCACATATGTAAATTAAATTCGTTTTAGCTGAATGTGCTACCATTAACAGTCTAGGGGAAAGTTCATCACAAAGAAACATTAGTATCGTTCTAGATAACTATATTACTTAGAAATCATCCAAATATTAGAGAGATGAATAGTTTATTTAAGCATAAATGATATTTCTATTTAGGAGATGACAAAAGAATAATTATTATCAGGAACAAATAATAATAGGAGAGATAAAAAAAAAAAATAAAATAAATAAATAAAAAATAAAGGAGCTAGAAAAAGAGAATCCATATCTAAAACAAGGTATTTCAGAAAAAATGTGGTACATACATACATAGATTATTATGTTGCATATTTGAAGCTATAGGTAAATAAGTAAAAACCATGTAAAAATATAAAAAGTGCCCAAGCAAATGACCAAGAATAAATTCATATTCGTATTGATCTTATTGATCACTCAAATGCCTCAGCATGAATGTATGAGTTACATGTATTAATGTATATGCATTATTATATAGCGAGGTTCCTATATAAAAAAAAAAATTAAGCTGCCAATTAGGTTGTAAAAAGCATGTTTAAATAAAAAAACAAAACTGTATATAAAAAAAAGTTATTATTTTATTTAAACTGACTTTCTACTACCTATTTGGCAGCTTAACAAGTTTAACATAAAGGGTAAGGGCAGCATTTTAAAGACTCAAATAAATAATTCAAACTTTAAACGCAGGTCGCAGACTTAATTAAGCAATGCTTCAATTAATAAAAGTATAGATATGAAAGAAAAATATAATAATAATTAAAATTGACAACAAATAAACTGTTGTCTTTTAATTAAGTCAAAGAAGATATTGAATTGAATTTCTTTCAAAATATCTGCCTGCAGAAATCGAATGAGCCAATAAATACACTCTATATACATATATATTGGCATTCGTTTGACACGGGTATATTTGATTAGGTGATACATATATAGTATAGAGTGTCTCCATTAGTTGGCTGCCAACACTTTGAAGCCCGTTTGCCCGTTGAAAAAGAAAACCCACAGTTTGGTCGATATATGCGGAATGCTTAAGCAAGTGAACTGGCTAGCATTTGGTGGGCGGGGGGAGGAGCATGCTTCAAGTATATTATATCAATTTCGGGTATATAGAGTGTGCTTAATAGAGCGACTAGCCTAGTCATATGTTGTCTTTTACTTAACATAAATCAATTAGCCTCAACTAAAGCCACTTCCTACCAGCCACAAATCAGTCTAATGAATTTCAAAAGCCATACTCGTTTGCCGCACGCTCAAATGTAACATAACGAGTGTGTGCCTCTGTGTGTGTGCGTGTAGAGCTTAACGGAAATTAGACAAATATAGAGATACAAATAGAGATAGGGAAAGAATGAGAGAAGCGGAGACAGAGTAGAATCGCCTTTTCCGGTTTGTTATAAATTACTTTTTATGCGAAGTGCCAAAGTTAATTTCAATTGACACGAAACCAAACACACCTACAGAAGGCGAGCTAAACGGATATGAATATATTGAACCACACACACATACTACTATGCGTATCGTCCAGTCTGTATATGTGTGTATATATGTATATACATTTATATATCGATTCGAAAGAATTCAACATTTATAGGGCAAACGAACTATGTAGCTAAAGTCATCTGACTACGAGCGTGTGTGTGTGCATGTGTGTGTGGGCCTGCGTGTGTGAGTATGTGTGCTGGTTTATGGGCTTGTGTGTGCCCTCGAAAAATGGCACAGAAAAAGTAAAACAGGTAAATCAGAAGAGTGCAAATAAAAATAAATAACACAGCTGGTTACATTTTTTGTTGTTGCTCGTAATTGGCACGAATTACACTTAAAGAAATTGCTTGTGCGAAATTCGTATGTAATCTGCGATGAAATCTAATTAATACATATAAATGTGTATGAATTGCCTTTAATGTAGTTAACACTTTTGCTGATTAACATTAAATTTGGTTTGGCTCTAATAAGCTGAAGTAATTTAATAATTTAGGCAAATAGCTCTAATATGTCGGACCGAGTATTGTAAATTAATCTTTTATATTTTGGTCATGTAGACTAAAAATAAAAGTCCATAATATTTATAAAATTATAGTTGAGTATAAACATTATTACATATAGATTTCATCGAGAAATTTATTTTGTTAAATACAAATAAATATTACTTACTTAAAACTTCATATTTGTTTAGTATTTTTAGTATTTTTATTTAAAAAGATTTTTATTGAATAGTGTACAGAGGAACAAGACACTGGCTTACATTTGATGTAGAAATTATGTTTTATTTATTTTTACACCTTGACCCATTGAATCTAAGGTTTTAAGGTTTTTTTTATTTATTTATTTTTATTTTTTATTTTTTTTTCTGCATATAATTATAATTTTGTCGTCGCAATTTTCCCACTTTGGCATCTGAAATGTTGGCACCAAATCCAGTTTTCTAGGTCGTCTTTTACGCTGTTTGCCAGCTCATAATACTTGTGAACAGTGGATTAAGAGTCAAGCTGTTCAACTATGCCTCAAATTGCTTAAGCAATTCAGTATATATATATTTCATTATAGTTTTTCGTATGGAAAGAAAATTTAACCAAATTATAAATGGGATATATTATAAGTTTGATCAAATAATTGCAGATTAGAGTTCTGTTAGCTTAAAGGCAACTTAAACCACTTAAACTAAAAAATAAAAACTTATAAAAAAACATTTTTTATTTTTATAGGTAGGAATAGAAACAACTAAAGAAATAGTAATATCAAAGAAATGCTAAAACGGCTCAGTAGATGTAGAGGGTGAAATCTTTTACTTCTAGTGCCAGAGCTAACAGATCTAAGACTTAGCCAGGCTGTTTGAGTGAGATTTTTGTCTCTCGATCTATTTTTAGACTACAATTTAAGAACAGAGTATCAACTATATATATTATTCTTATATTATTTCATATAAATATTTTACTACATATTTGTCAACAAGTTTTTAAAATGTTTCATCAAAAGCTTTTCAACGGATTGCATTCTTTTCTCTTCACTCGTTAGCTATGAATACTTTCCGGGCTTCACTGGCGAGGAGATCTGGAATCCCAATACCAATGTATCCGAGGACTGTTTGTATATAAATGTTTGGGCGCCAGCGAAGGCGCGTTTGCGTCATGGGCGTGGCGCCAATGGGGCAGAGGTATGCTGTCTCTCTCTGTCACTTCCACTCTTTCTCTGCACTACACTGTTTCTCTCTCTCTATCTCATAATATTCTAGCACTCAGGCAGCAAGCAGACCGATACGGATCATCTCATACACAACGGCAATCCACAGAACACGACCAACGGGCTGCCCATATTGATATGGATTTATGGCGGTGGCTTCATGACCGGCTCGGCCACGCTGGACATATACAATGCGGACATCATGTCCGCCGTGGGCAACGTGATCGTAGCCTCGTTTCAGTATCGCGTGGGCGCATTTGGCTTTCTGCACCTGTCGCCGGAGATGCCGCCGGAGTTTGCCGAGGAGGCGCCCGGCAATGTGGGTCTGTGGGATCAGGCACTGGCCATACGCTGGCTGAAGGACAACGCGCACGCCTTTGGCGGCAATCCTGAATGGATGACGCTGTTTGGCGAGTCGGCCGGCTCGAGTTCGGTGAATGCACAGCTCATGTCGCCGGTCACCAGGGGCGTGGTCAAGCGTGGCATGATGCAGTCGGGCACCATGAATGCGCCCTGGAGCCACATGACATCCGAGAAGGCTGTGGAGATTGGCAAATCGCTGATCAACGACTGCAACTGCAATGCATCCATGCTGAAGGTGAGTCCAATCCTCTAGTCCCCCAATGAACCCATTTTAATAACTGTCCGATTAGACAAATCCCGCCCACGTGATGACCTGCATGCGTGCCGTGGATGCCAAGACCATATCGGTACAGCAGTGGAACTCCTACTCGGGCATACTCAGCTTCCCATCGGCGCCGACCATTGATGGCGCCTTCCTGCCCGCTGATCCGATGACTCTGCTGAAGACAGCCGATCTGAAAGGCTACGATATACTCATGGGCAATGTCAGAGATGAGGGTGAGTCTCATTTAATTATTGTTGAGAGTTATGAGAGCTTCGTCGTATGTGAAATGCTTGATGAAAAGTGTTTCATGTATTTTTTTTTTTTTTTTTTTTTTTTTTTTTTTTTTTTTTTTTTTTTTCAATATAGTTTTATTGCAGCTTTTGTCGTAAACTCTATGGCGCATTTATAAGGGTACCTTAACTAATGGAGTGGCTAAATGCCTTTATTGCTAAAAGTTACNCCATTCGGCTCCGGTCCAATTCCTTAGTGCTTTGTTTTGTGTGGTCTGAACTTTATTTATGTGAGTTCTTGCAGCAGACCCCCATAAAGGCATTGCGTAAGTGAAAACAGGTGCCACTATTGCGTTGTATATGTGCCTCTTGCTTCGTAGTGACAGAGGGCTGTCGCTTCTTAGCATCCAGTCGAGTTTTTTTAATTTGTACTTGCACTTTTTGACTGTCTCACTTACGTGCGGGCCATAGGTCAGTCTCTTATCCAGAGTGACTCCCAGGTACTTCACCTTGTTTGCCCGTGGTATTGGAGCTCCTAGAGTCACTTCGGGGCAGGCTCCCCTTCTGGTTGCGAATGTGATGTGCGTGGACTTTTAGGCGTTGATTCCGATGCTCCAGCGAGTTAGCCACCGATTGAGATCATGCAAGTAATCTTGCATTTGACTAGAGGCTACTTCGGGCGATTTATTGCGACTCAGTATGGCTGTATCATGTATTAGTTTAAGATTGCAAGAGTTTAAAAAATGCCATAGCATACTTTTGTGGGCTCTCTAAGAGAAAAGTTTGTATGGAGTGCAGGACGGTGGATTATTTAGTATATATTGATATAATGTTGTTTGGAAACACGCTGAGCTTCTTTCAGCTCTATAATCTATATATAGCCTGATTAAGATATCTTTGCGCGACTTTCTTTGAGGTTAACTGAATGGAATTTCTATTCATTTATAATTAAATTATATATGTTATATGTACTATATAATATGAAACTCAAAGGAAACCTTGACACAAATAGATAGGAAAGAATGAAATCCTTAAATATCCTCTCACTATTTCTCTCAGAACATGCTCTAATCAAACTATTCCTCCTGCTTGTTCGTGTTAAGTAAAATGTTTTTTTGCAGCATGTTTCTGCTATGTCGCCAACTTTTCACTGGGCTAGAAAAACAGTTTTCTTTCTTTTTTTCCCGCTCTGAAAGCAGTTTCAGCGAATTCATGCTGTCTTTCAACTCGGGCTGCAAATATCCTTGAGCTGAGCAGTTGCTTACTTTTTCAGCAGCTTTTTCATAGAGTGGACATCAACTTAATCAAACTTAGCTCGAGCTGTTGTCCACTGTTTTTTAACCAGCACGTAAACCCCATCTCTCTCTCTCGCTCTCTCTCTCTCTGTCCCTCTCCCGTTCCGCCGGCACTCTGTCAACTTTTAGCTAACAATAGCCTATCCGTCCGCCTGCTCTGGCGCTGCTCCGTTGGCATTGTTGCAGTTTTATTTTTGGCATCGCCTTTGATGCTGACGTCAGCAGTGTGCCAAATTTTCGCTGTGGCTGCAACCAGTCGCCATTTTGTTCATGTTGCAAGCCACCCCTCAGCCCTCAGCCCTCTGTCCCCATTTCAGCCACCCGCTGTCGCATTTGTTGCAGCTGCATCCATTTGTGATTTTATTACTTTTGTTTTCGTTTTCGTTTGTTTGTGTTGTGTTGTTGTTGTTGTTGTTATTGTTAATGTAGATGCCACCGCATAAGCCATGCTTTGTTGTCATTTCATGTTGCTGGTGTTTGGTGGGCGTGGCTGGTTGCCTCTTGGCCGCTTGGCCGCTTGCTCAAATGCTTTATGAGCCATAGTACATTACCGGCTTAGGGACAAGTTTTGGCCCAGCTTTGTACTGTGCTGCCACACACACACACACACACACACACACACACACACACACACACAAAAATGCACTTTGTGTAATAGCTGCGGCTTGTGGCAGCTGCCCCCAGCTCCGGAACGTGCCACAAATCAAGCAAGCTTAAAGAGAACCTCGAATCTAGAGTCGAATTTGTCAACGCAGCTGCAAGCAGCAGCAGTAGCCAAATTGAGCAGCAGAAGATGGAGCTGTGCCCGACTCACACGCATGAAATTCGCAAGGAGCTGAAGAGGGTTGACGGGACCCCGGGTGGGGTGGGGGCGTTCTGTTGGAGCTGCCATTAAACTTGTCAGACTCGTGCACGCAACAAGCTCTCCAGGAGTGGGTGGGGACAGGGGCAGTTGGCGTCACATCGGGGGCAATGTCAGGCAGGAATCATGGGGGCGCTCAGCTGTGCGAAACGACATCATAAATTATTTAAATATATTTAGATATACATATACATATATATCGTTCGCTGCGGCAGGCAGCTGAAAATAACAGTAAGGCATGTTGCATCCACGCGCCGATTGGGGCAGCACACGTGCTGCTACTCGAACAGGCATGACATGATACCAAAGTTAAAGAGGTTAAAAATAAAGTAGAGAACGAAAAGTTTTAGAATGCAACTTAAATTGTAAATAAATTATTTGTACACAATAAAAATTAATTCGGCTGTTTTAAATTAATTGAATAAATTATACAAAACAAATATTTTTTCTGGAAAATTAATAATCAATAACAATTATATAAATGATAAAAAAGAAATAAAAAATAAA